AAAAAAAAAAAAACTAATTTTCACGGGGTTTGAACCATTTGGTGACACGCACTCCCATACTCGTATAATGTATATTTATCAGACAATTAAAACCTTTGTAAGAACCGTATTGATGGGAGGTAGGAAAAAATTTACAGGGTTATTTTACATGTTACTGTACTTTTTGAAAGTTTTTTAAAAATATGAGATTCAAAATAAAACTATACATAAATCACTAAGAAACGAGTCATAAACTAAAAAATAATATAACACATTTTAGAAATAAATGAAAAAAATAAAACAAAATAAACTATTTACAAACCATAAGAGTTATAAAATTTAAATTTAAAAATTAAAACTTCACAAATGTACAAATAAATAGAAATTTGTAGCAAACAAAGTAATTTTCTCAATTTATTGTGTAATATAACGACAAGGCCAAGTACATTTACAGAAAGCCCAATCTTTGTTACGCATGAAGGACTAGGCCCACTACATATTCTTTAAATCTTAGTTAAGCCCTTAGCTTCTTTTATCCTCATAGTCATATTTGGACAAAAATTTCCCGAAATTTGGTCTAGACAGCCTTAACAAAAACATTTGTGTAAAAAATATCATATCCCGTAATCTGACACTTAATAACCTTAACAACATTTTTGTGTCAAAAATGTTGAAGAAATCATTGCACACATTATGCGGACATGCAAGCAGCCAAATGACATACAAACTTGAGCCATTTTTGGCACACACCAAATTTAAGGGGACTACTATAAGGATTTAAGTTACAAACTAACATATCTCAATTTGTATACATACATACACTTCAACTACAATGGATTTCTTATTAACCTGTTGTACAAGCAAAAAAGAATATACTATTAATACAACATCAAAGGTTCTGCTCTGAAAAATAAATTTCTTCCCTAGTAATTTGTCGGCTGTCCAATAGTTCATGGTCTTGTATTCCATTATTCTGTTCTGAGCACTTTATTCTGTTCAATTTCCCAAAAAAATTCTCGTCTGACCTCGTTCAAGATGGCCAACCGGAGGGAAGAAGTTATAACAGTATGTACATATAATCATCATATTCTTATAAATAGGCTCAACTAAGCTACAAGAAGCCAAATATACTTCCCTTCTTTCTCATGGACAGTAATTTGCCTTTTTTCCATCATGAGTGTGTATTTGGAGATTCTCGAGCTGAATTGAGAAAATTTTCTATCTGTTCATAGCATTTTGAACTCTCGTGACACGAGCAGAGAATTTGTTTTCGTCATTTAGGATCTCGTCGATTTAGGTCTGATCCCTTAAAATGAGAATTTTACTCAGCAGCTTCGCGTTGGGATCAAGGGATCATAATCGTAAACATCACCAGCCTTGACAAAACGTCCTTTCACACGTTTCCTCACATCTGCTCTAGCCTTGCGTGATGCATACCTCACTTTCTTTTCGAACCTTTTCATATAATCAAAATGAAAAATAGAAAATGTTAAACATGTGGTGCATACCTCATTCTTACACTTGATTTGATTGCCTGATATTTAAAACTATTCCTAAGTTCTGATATTAAAGATAAAACCAATGAAGTTTTACAAAATACACCCAAAGGTTTTTATAAATTTACTTAAACTGTCCTCGTGACCAATCTATTACAGTTTTACTAAGCATGTTAAGATGGATTTTTGAAATGTTTTTTTTTTTTTAGTTATATTTATATATATGAAGAGAAAATATATAGTATAAAATCATAGGTAAGCGAAAAGGGAAATTTGCATTTTACAGAAATGTGTGGGTTATATCGTATTATTTAAGCAAGACCTCAGGGAGTGTTGGTAGTAATCCCAAGTAAAAGAAAGGTTATCTAAAGTTTTAAAAGTTGAGGCAACTGGACTCATCAATTACACCTCAAGGATATATTTTGTGATACATCCCAAGATATGCAACACTTGATAAGTCCCTAAAAGTGTTAGCTAAGAAAAAAACACCATTTTCGGATAAGCCATTTCAAAAAATCAAGGATCATGAAACCAACTTCTGGAAATAACACGTTCCCCATTAAATTCAAAAAATTGTAAGAAAACTCAATGATTAAAGAAAAAAAGGGGATAATCTTACTTTCTGGCCTTTTTCTTCTCCTTGTAACGCAAGACAGCATCACTCCTGCTACCTGGTGGAGGTCCTGGCATGGATGAGACTCCACAATCCTGATGATCCCCACCACTGCTTTCCCTTTCCCCAGTAATGCCTGAAAACGAGAGGCCCGAATATGTTTGCCTTGCAAAACATATATTGGGTTCCGTTTTGCAGCTCATAATTGAGTCAGCAGATGCGGCATTGCTGCAAGCCGGTTGCATCATGTTGACCCCTCCAAGTGTTGATCCCTGGGAATTTTTAATGAAAATTGAAATATATTTAGGCATTTTATTTTGGCACTAATGGGAACGCGCTTGGGGTTCTTGAATTACAAAACTTTCCACTTCTTTTTTCTTTGATAATAATTATGAGACAGCAAAGTTTGCAACTACTATTTTAAATATGGTGGTTTGCTGTTTATTCATTAACAAATTTCACCTTTTCAAGAATTTTATTTTTTCAGAAGGCCACTACGGTAATTGTTGGAACTTTGAAACTTCCTTGTATATTTTCTGTTACTTAATTCAACCACAGGAGTAGATATTATAATTGTCCTATTTTTTTCACAATATCCCATGTAGGGTAGTATAGGCAGCTAAGTGTCTCACTTGCAAAAAAAGATTACCTCACCAACCATCAATATAACAATAAGGATACACTTTTAAGGAAGATTTTACATGATAACACATATACAGCTATACATAGGATTACCAGACTAAAGACTCACACCACGTTAGGAAATTATATCATACACAATTAAACGACAATAGGATCCTATGAAGATGCAATGAGTTCATTTTACGAATTTCCATACCTCAGCTGCATAAGCACCCTGAGACCCAGACATGTCTTTCGTCCCGAAAATTCCATCAATACCATCATCTCCAAATAGCTGGTCCGGATTATCAAGAGAAACACCAAAAAGCTCTTCATAGTTTTCAATGCTCAAGTCAACCTCATCCATAATCAAATCATCATAAAAGCTATCGTCACATGCAACAGTTCCCTTAGCTACGGACAAGGAATCCTACAACATATAGACAACAATTTCCAGTTAAGAGAGATAAATTCCAATTAGATGAGCAGAATCAAACCAGAAACTGCCATTGCCTCGGGATATTTCTTCTTTTTAAAAAAAAAAAAGAACCTTTGCTGTAAGGTCAAAATCCACTTGCTGCTCAGAAAAAAAGGGTACCCAAAAAGATAGCTAACCTTTTGAATAGCCGTTCCAGTCGATCCACCTGGCAACAACCCGATACCAGCAGACGATCTATCTGCTCCCCCTAAATGAGATTCATCATTTGCATTCTCGTTCTCTTGGCAATCAGCAGGCCCCTCATTGGCAATGCTCATTGAGCCCATTCCCTGCTCACAGCCCGAATCCAACAGAAAAGACCACATTTCAGAAAGCTCGGAAGCCGATGGGCAGCCCGTGTAGCAATGAATGGCTTGCCTCTTGTGTGACAGGCCTGTGCTCGGACCCGCATGTCCTGTCCAATCACAGTTTTGACAGAGGGATATTTTTTCCTGTGCGCATCTAACAAAAGCAGGCTGAGAATGGCATCTCTCACAAACGAGCGTCCTCAAGTGGCGTTTAGAGAGAGCATTTGCAGAATGAACATTACGGTCACAAGACAAACATAAGCTAGCAGAATCCGAACGACAGTACACCATGGACCTTTGTTCCCCGCAGAAATCACAAAGGTATCCCATATTTCGTAAATTGACGGTTTTGTCCTCTGATTCGGTTAAAGCTGGAGGAGAGTGGATTTTCAAAGAGCTGTACTTTCAACGGCGACTTTTCTTTTCTCTTTCTTTTTTTTTTCTTTTTTAGTTCGTCAGAGACATACTGATGCCTGCATTGGAAGGCACATGAAAATCTTTTATTGGACAGAATCAACAATGTGCAAAGAGATCAAGGATATAGTAACTGGAATTATGCCTCACACTCAACATCAAACAGGTGTATACAGCAACAGTTTATGCATATAGTCATGCTAATTTGACAATTGATCTTTGAATCAGAATAAAAATAAAGTCTTCAACAAGAAATGGATAATAATAGTAATATCCCTGACCGAGAGGGTAAATTCAAAAAAGATACAGAAAGTGAGGCACCTTAAATACAGAGATATTGAAAGAACTAACTCTCTAATGATATGTATTACAATAATTACATCCCACACACACAAAATCAAGAACCCAAACAAAAAGTAAGGATTTTAAATGAAACAATAACTTGTTTCATTACAAAAGGACTAGGATTATTAGTAAAACCATAAATGTAACCGTAGCAGTGTTTTCTTTCATTTTTGCACAGAAAATGATGGAAATTCAGTTATTCACGAGCTAAAATGAACGAGTCCAGGGAAGATAACTACATCATCCCTTTGACCAATAAAATTCATACAAATCAAGCTGAGACAATGAAATTTAACAACCAATTCCAATACAGATATACAGAAATATTGAAATAACCTGAAGAAATCACATCTGAGATCAATAATCCAAAATCTCCCAAAATTGCAGATATACAAGAAAAAAAAAAAAAACAAATCAACGAAGAACAGCAAAGACAAAAAGGGTCCAATATTAACTGATGTGTTTACCTAAATTAGCCGTAAAGCCATACCAAGACTCAGGTATGAGACCAGAATCAACTGGAAGCAAAAGGAAGCACATGAGAGCACTAAATATCACCTAAAATCCTAAAAAGATCCGACCTTTCCAGAAGGGATTCTCTCTCTCTCACACACACACACACAGTGGATGAGGTGAAGCGAAGCTTTTCTGGGACTGGATTGGTTTGTTCAAGTTGAGACAAAAAGCTCCAAAGATAAAACTATAATAAAAATATCTGATAAAAAAGTGATAAAAAGTGCTGGAGAGAGAAAGTAGATGGGCCCCATGAAAGAGAGAGGCATGCGCTTTTGCCACTATACCCCCAAACCCACAAAACTAAGAAAATAAAAATATCTCATTTAAGATACTACCAGTCTAGTTTATTATATTTTGACTTTTGTTGTGTGTATGTGTGTGTATTTGTTTGCAATGTTTAGAAAAACACATTTTGTTCTTAAAAAAAGATTAATATATTCTTTGGGTCACTGCTCTTGTTGACTTGAATAAACCCGATCGACCAAGTTTTGACCAAACTCATCCCAAATATTAATCCAACACGATGCAAACCAATGTGAATGATATGCCCAACCCTAATTCGGGTCAGCTCAATCAAATCCTGAATCAACTTGTTTAGGTTATATTGTACTAGGTTTACAAACAACGATTCCACCTAATGTTATGAAATTTTTCTAGACATCATTTTGATGTATAATTATGATAGTCCGTATTCGATTCGAGTTGGATCAACAAAATCTCGAATCAACTCATTAAGCCATTGTATCGGGTTACCACACAATGATTCAACCCATGTTATGAATTATGAGTGATTTTTCTTTAAAAAGTATGCTTTTTCTAAATAACATTTGAATGTTTAATCATGATAGTTCAACTCTCCTACCCGAGCCAATAGTTGATATATATATGGTTGAAAGATCATGGTGTGACTAATATGTGCTCACGGTAGATATGTGTGTATATATATATACATGTATAACTGTAGGCAAAAAATGCATGATAATTGTTTTTGTTTTTTTCTATCTTTTTTGTCACATTTTGCATTAATTAAGTAATTTGTTTTTATTTATTTGGATTGTGGATTAAGAAGAATGAAGCTCGAATAGATTATGCATAAAATTACCCGAATGCCCGTATAATTTTTCTTAATTTTTTTTATGGAATTAGGATATTGATTAATGTTATTTGTATATCTACAATACAACAAATAAACAAATAAAAAAAAAAAGAAAACAAAAAAGTAAGGAAATCGTGTATATAAATATAATTCTGTTTACTTTTAAGAGAAATTTTATTACGTATTATACTTTTTTTTTTTTACATAAAATTGATTGTTGCAAAGACATTTCATTCAAAATTTCTCAAACCATATAGAAAAATCTAATTTATAGATTATATTTATATGTAGATAAATAATAATTGTAAGGAGCATGTGGCGGGCAAGGAAAGAGATCATGCACTTTGTAAAATCGTACACGTGAGTATGACTTAACACGTAATGGGAGAAAAAATGTTTTAGAGCATTAAATATGACATCAATAGTTTTGAAAATGGAGAATTGGAGATTTTGAGATAAGGTGGTTGCAATTTGTTTTCCACTTCAAAAACAAAATGATGACATGTGTTCCAATTACATTACTTAAATTCATTCAAAAGGTATAAGAAGGACAAAAGATTTTAGTGGGATAAACTATTGATATTAATTCCAATGCTTCACAAACTTTCACCTATAGTTCTAAAGCACTTTTCAAATGAATTTGCACGTATGGAAGTCTTTCAATAATAATGAATATTGGATAATGGATTTAAAAATAGTTTTTTGTTCAAAATGGNAAAAAAAAAAAAAAAAAAATGCTAGAAAATTCATTTCTTAATGGACCTCGGTAAAATTGCTACCAGAAAAGTGATTTTTCAACTCCCAAGTCTCCCAACACTAATCAGAAGTCACGCAGTAGGAAATAACATAATTAAACACAACATGACAATCACATAAACCGGATAAAGCCAATAAACATTTCCACCAAATATATGAACAAACATGTGAAATTAGATCTCTACTCTCTTTTATTGACATTTTTAGTTTTTACTTTTTACACATAATAAGCCGTAGAACCAGCTATCCCAGGACAAAATTATTCACAACCAGAAAACATCAAACAAGTATTTGCTGCTGTTCCTTGCAAAACACATCCATTGACCAAAAACTACTCACAAAATGAAAGCAGCCAATATACAGTGTTTTACCTAATGTCTGAATGCTGCTTTTACAGAGTTGAAGCTCGAACCACCTAGGACCAACCAAAGCTAATGTTTTTATAGATTCTCAAGATTACTTGAAGTAATCCTCAACGTTTTTAAAGATCTAGATCGCCTGCATCCTGATAAGTAGCATTACACAAAAACCAAGTGTACAAATAAATAAACATTTGATGAAATGACCAAACATTGGGATTCAGGCACTTTTTAAGGATCAGTCCGTGAAAAAACATAACAACCTCGAATTCACTTACACGCACTCAAACATGAAAAATTATAATTTGTGCCTCGATACGAGTGGCACAAGTGAAAATTCCGACAGCATAAGCTAAACTACGAGACCTTATTTTGTTCTCATTAAAAAAGAACTAGCGCGTGCAAGAAAGTCGGGCTTCCTTTTTCTATTTTCGTTCAAAGAAATCATCCATACAGCGCATGCCAAGCCTCTTTGTTGTCCCTTGACTTCTTAGGTGGATTTTGAACTGTCTTGTCCTTTGAGAAAAGGAGACCAGAAATGCTTGCTAAGTGCTCCCCTATCTGGCATATTACCTGACAAACGTTTTTTATAGAAGCAGATTAAATAGAGTATAAAAAAAATGGATGTGGGCCATTGGCATCCAACAAGAAGCTTGGCGGAGGCAGACGAGGGTTCACGAATGGTAGATAAGTACCGTTGTCAAATTCAGTTTAGCCGCAGCTTAAAAAAATACATTTTAGTTTGATCACCGAGAGATGCAAGAAACACGACATTGAATAGGGAGCATAGCTCACCTGTATGATTCCGTCAAAAAGCTGAGATTTTTTTTTTACAGTTTGCAGACAATCCCAGAATAAGTAAAGATTACTAACTTTATGAGTTATCAGCAACCAATCACTTTAAACAAAATAGCAGAGAATGGCTACAAAATGAAGTCTATATGCACATCAAGTTCCAATTCTCTGCTCTTAAAAACAATACCCAAGCATTGTCATTTGTTCCTGTACTGCATCTAGAATGCAAATTTGAAAATTGCAATCAATCAATCCATCAACAAAATCCCACTAAGTGGGGTCGGCTATATAGATCACATGTGGCCATCATGCTCGATCAAAACACATATCCTCATTCAAATTTAAATATTTTGAATCATTTTTATTTCTCCTTCCAAGTTTTCTTAGGTCTACCCCTCCCCCTTTTAATATGCGTTCTTAATTCTAATGTTTCTACCTTTCTCACCGGGGCCTCGAAGTCTCTCCTACGCACATGCCCAAACCATCTTTATCGTGATTCTCTCATTTTCTCCTCTATCGGCGCTACCCCAAATTTGGAAATTACAATAATGTAAAAAAAAAGGATGGGAGTTATCAGCAAAAAAAGTTGGAAACATATAACCAAAACAGTCCATTCAGTGAACTCACGAGCATTGAAATCAAAGACTAAAAGATAAACAGTCCTTAAAGCTAGAAATCCAAAAAATTGAAAAAGCTCAATAAAGGCTGAAAAAGAATCATTATACCTCGAGCTCATCTTTGGAGTTTTTACTTGCCACACGCTGACCGCTTTGACCAATCAGCACAACTGCAGGAAGCTTCATGGCAGTTAACAAATGAAGCAGAGTGGCCAAATCTTCACGATAAACCTGCAAACATGGAGAGGGCTTTTGCAATTTGGAGCTCAAAGCCTCAGTTAAATCTCTTTTTGGACCTAATTCAATGCCATAAACTGAAGCATTGTCACTTCCCATGGAATATTTGTTTTCTTGTTTGAGCTTAGAATCTGGCACAACACAAGGGACTATGATTGTTGGCGTAGTGGACAAATCATCTCCAGCCAATTTCAGTAACACCTCATTCAAAGCACAAGCTAAGATTGGTGGCTCGTAACTTTGCAAGATAACAATAGACACCTGAGAAATGTACAAATTATCTTAAGCTTCATCTGCTCAGGAGCCAAAAACAACGCATTTGCACCAGTATGGAACAAATAAATAACTTGGAAGAATATCAAAGCTAATAAATCATCAAGCCCCACGTCGTGCAGCAAATCGAACAGCTAAAATTAGGGATTGAACCCTCTGCATATTAAAAAACCTCAATCAGCTACTTGAGGAAAAGAAATATTGATAAATCCCTACAGTCCCCAAATTTATTTGAATCTAAAAAAATTCCAATACGGAAACCAACCACCACCAGCCACATAAATCAACTAATAAAACGAATTAAGGTCAAAAATCACAATTAGGTTAGCTTCTAAACACGCCCCCATCGAGCTCAAGGGGAGAAAAACAGCTATTGAAGTGATAATTACCTCATAATCACCACTGGGATTGACAGAATGAATGATCTCCCCGGATGCCTTCTGATCTTTGATTCCATAAACATTTAACGGGAAGCCGAAATACTCTTTTCTAAAATCGAATCCGAAAAAATCATGATATTAAGGTTCATTACTGATAGAGAAGATGGGTAAATTTTCGTTACTACTCACAGCATTTTGAAGTTTGAGCTGGGGCTCGGGTTGAGGCCGCTGGATACGGCGGCTGATAGGGCGTCGCCGCCGTCGAGCAGGAGAATAACTTTCTCGGCCACCTTCATCTTGTAGAGGTGTTTACAGTTAAGAGTGTTGGTCTGTACTCTGTTTCATCCACGTTTGTTTCGACTTTGGACTCTTGGAGAGAAGGTTTTGCTCTACATTTATTTTTCACATCAAAATAATTTAATTATTAAGGAGATAATTATTCAATAATTGATTTAAATCGATAATTTACCATCCACTTACCGCTTATATAGAAAACTAGTACGTACCACGTACACTAGGGAGATATTAAATGAATTATTTTTACAGGCTCTGTCCGTTTAAATTTGAGAAGAGATATTATCCATTTTTTACCTATTTTAATCACCGTTAAGTCTCGTTTAAGTCTAAAAAGAGTTAATCATCTATTTTTCACCTCTTTTAATCACCGTTAAGTCTAAAAAAAAATAGAGTTGTAATCTATTTTTCACATATTTTAATCAGCGTTGTTTTATTAGTCAGAACATTAAACGTGAGCATGTTAGGGCTAAGTTGTAAAATAATTAATATATTATCTCACTAACACATTTATACTAATATAAATTTAATTTTATTATATATACTTATTCCTTGATATAAGAGAAAATAACAATTTTACTTATTCTTATTCACTATATAATAGTTAATTATTAAACTCTGTTGCCATATAATGTCATTATTATTTATAAAGTTATACAAGTTACACGTCTTCTTGTTCTTTTTATTTTATGTAATGAAATATATTTAAAATATGTAAATAAATTTAAAATTAAATAGTGTATAAATAATGTACAAAATATACACATATATTTTTTTAAAATTTAATTTTGTATACTAATTAAACAACTTTGATTTAAGAAAAGCCATGAACTCAATCTCTTCTAATATCAATATTTTTCTAATTTGCATTGTAATGGTTATTCTTATCATATATATAGATTAGAATTTTTGCGACACCAACCAAACTAAATATCACAACAACCAAATAACAATTATGAAAAAACTCATAACACAACAACTATCAATTAAATTTGGTAATAGAAATACGTATATATAAAAATGTGAGGATTCTATATTTCTATTAACATATGTATACCACGTGTATATTTTGTTAAGGTATATTGGAATGTTCAATTTCATAGCATGATAGCGATCAGTCTTAAAAAGTTGAAAATCTTATTGAAATGCCATATTTTTCTGTTAAAAAAAAGGTTCCCATAAAAATTAATTATATCATAGAAAATTCATTGTGTAATTGAACAAATTTCTATAATGAAGTCCGATTTTCTGTAAAAAAAAATAAAGCAACAACTTCCACATTTTAAGCAAATCAATTAATGTTGGTCCGTTTTTGCTAAGAAAATAATAAATAAATAAATTATAATTAATGAAAAGTAATTAATGATGAGAGAATTTGACCATATCTGTTTTTAAAAATCGTAACAGAAAAACAAATATTAAATAAAACTGTATAATACGGAAATAGTAATGACAATAAATGCTGTTGACTTTTCTAGCTACTAAATTTAGTAATTAGGACTCCCTTTAATATAAGTATAGATAGATTATAATGTTGTTTTTTTTTTTTTTAATTATCGTGCGTCTTGTTTTTCTAACAGTTTTTATATGGGGAAAATATGAAAATATATAGGTCATTTCCTCAATTTATATTCCATATTCCTAAAAGAAGGAAAAAATAAATAAAAGACGAAAAGAAAAAATATGTGTCCGCATGGGCTTACAGATGGAACCATCCTTGTAGCCCAACCCAAACTTGACTGGTTATTTATAGGAAAATCCAATGCGTATCACATTCCTAGCCCAATGTAACTCCTCAAAAGTCACAAGCATACAGAGCCTTTAATTAATTAAGCTTTGCCTCCTCTGATTCTAGTCTTACATTTGTGTAGCCATAGATAAATATGTACATGCACTATCATAATTAATTAATTAATTAATTAATCGAGCATAGAAAGATTAAGTTACTGAATTAATTAATCGAGCCATAGATAAACCAATGATCAAATTGTGTAGACATATGGTCTCTGACTTTAATTTAAAGTAAAGATCACAAATTTCAAAGCATTCGTTGGCTTAACGAAACATCTTAACTCCGATCTCCAAGCATTGGTCAATTTGATCATTGGTATTACAACTGCAATAAACCAAGAAAAAAATAAGATTAACCTTTTTCACCAATTTACTACTCTCTCCTATTTTTTTTAAATGTCATTTTAGCTTTGTCAACAATTTACTAAATAAATGTCGTTTTGGATCTTTTATACATATTTTTTTCATTATTACCCTCATCTATCTAATAAATACACTACGTCTTTTCATATTCACTCCTCATCTTTTCTATCTCTATCCTCATTAATGAGGGTTATTATTGACAAAAAATGATTCTTAATTACTGTGCAACTTCTCAAAACGACATTTATTAAAAATAAGAGGGAGTATACACCAAAGATTATCGATAATATGCCAAAAATATTACACTACAAAATTAATATATCATCTAAACAAAGCAATAACATTTATATTTCATTTTGTTTTGCTTAGGAATAAAAAAAAAAAAAGAGAGAGAGAATTAGAGCTTTTAAGATAAATTGTTGATTCGCTATATGTATTTTACGTATTTGCAGTGAGTAGTGGCTGTAATCCTAAATTTAACCATTCATTGCCTTTCAATTAAGGGCGTGGACCAGGGCTGCGAGCTCTAGCTTTTATTCAGTCGAGTTTATTAATTTATTGTTTTGAGTTCGGCACATTTAATATACTAATTGAATTTTAAAAAACAATTATTTCTGGACTTTTATTAAACGAACTCGAGCTCGAGCTGAACTCGTTTATAAAACGAGTCAATCCGAGCTCCATCCTTAACAAGCTAAGTGGAATCGAACCAAGTTCATAACAATTTGCTTCATTTAATAGAAACCTTCAATATTGTATTAACAAAAATTCATTTATTGTTCATCAACAATTGATCACTTAACTTATGTTACCCCCCTTTTTTTGTCAAGAGGATACATCGAATTTGGATAAATCAAAAGAAAAATTTGACGCAATTTTATAAATTCAAGATTGAATACCAACAAACGATTTACAATGATTTATTGATCGGATCACGAGCCCCAAATCATGGAGAATCATAAAGGGAAGTAGCATACTTGAGCTTTAAGAAAGCTTGTGCACGTTGAGGGAGGATCCCCATGCAAAAATGAAAACAATTACTAAATAAAAATATATTGCTGCAAAAACACTTTCGGGCTTTGGCCATTTTTATTTCCCTACAAAACCAAGCAAAACCCAGAGAATATTAATTTGATGCAGCAAAGAATCACACAGCTTTTATGTTCTGCAGTTGTTTGAGCAAACCAAGCAATGAATATAATTTTCACACCAACTTAACAAATTATGGTTATCTCTTAACAGTTAAATAGTCGTTCAATATATGTGCATACTTTCAAACTTAAATGTCATATTTTTAAATTTAGTTTAAACAAAAGTATGACATTTCATAGGTAAAGCAGGTCGACCCGTTATACTTCACGAAAAAAAAAAATGCTTACTTATAATGTAAAATATTAAAGTATGACAATATAAAAGTATATATTTGTTATAAAAGTACATATGCCTAACCGACATGCCTACATAACAGCAATCTAATCGATATAAAAATAAAATAACTAAATCAATCCACACATCAAGTAAAGTTGATTATAAGCTCATTTTGGAGCCACAGTTCACAACAGCATTCTGCTTTCTACAGTTGTTACTAGTGTCACATGGAAACAAACAGAGAGAGTTAAGGGATTGTTTGGAGATGTGGAAACCAAAAAGGCTGAACAATTGGTTTTCATACTTTTCAATCTCACCTAAAATATTGGTTTTGCTACTCTTAACCCCTCTTCTTCTCATCTCATTCATTTCCAGCAATTTGGGCTCACAAAAATCTCTCCTTTCATCGTTTTCTCTTAAGCCGCTCGAGTTTTTAAGCCCGTTCTCTTTGTGTTCTTTTGCGAATGTCAACGGTAACACCAATACAAAATCATGGAGCTCGAGACATGACCGTGAAGTAGTAAGCGTAGAGCTCATTCGTTCATTTCATTAAAAAAACTTATTTTCTCGAGTTTTTGCTACAATTTAAGCTTATTAAGGTTCTGTTTGTCTGTCCAAGAATGCTCAGGACAAAGAGGCACTACTTAGGCAAGAGCTATCAAGTGCAGAAATCAGGGGATTTGTGTCGAGTGGAATACGAAGAAAATACAGTAGGCGAGAAAAAACCGAGGCCCTCCTAGCTAAATCACGATTTCTCATTCGCGAGGCTGCCAAAAACAAAAGCTTAAGCTCTTCTCAAGTCGAACAATATCCCGATGATGTGCCTCATGGCCCTATTTACCGTAATGCCAATGCATTCTATCGGTATGTATACGTAGAACTCAGTGCCTACATATTTTTTCTTGTTAATTTTCCGAATCACATAAAATTTTCCACTTGCTAGGAGCTACTTGGAAATGGAAAGAGTGTTCAAGATTTATGTGTATGAAGAAGGAGAAGCTCCGGTTTTCCACGATGGCCCGTGTAGGAGCATATACTCCACCGAAGGAAGATTCATTCACGAAATCGAGAAAGGTGAGCATTATCGAACGTACGATCCAAACGAGGCCCACGTATTTTTCATGCCGTTTAGTGTGGTCGTGATGGTTCGTTATATCTATGAGTCGGGCTCGCCCGACATGACTCCCGTTGCCAACACGGTTGCCGATTATGTCGACACAATAGCCCATCGACACCCCTTTTGGAATCGAACCCTTGGCGCCGATCATTTCATGCTTTCTTGCCATGATTGGGTAAAATTTCGAGCAAAAAACTCTGTTTCTAGCAAGCTCTATTTTTATAGTATAAAAATGGGTTCCATTTTTTTTTTTTTTCGGTAGGGGCCTTACTCGAGTTCATACTCCCCATTCTTGTTCAACAACTCCATAAGAGTATTGTGCAATGCCAACACATCTGAAGGCTTCAACCCTTTAAAAGACGTCACGCTTCCCGAGATCAACCTCAAGACGGGGGAAATAACGGGCCTACTCGGCGGGGCCCCTCCGCGCGAAAGGACGATCTTAGCCTTCTTCGCTGGTGGTCTCCATGGACATATCCGGCACCTCCTTTTAAACCATTGGAAGGGCAAAAACGACTCGGATGTGCAAGTCTATGAAAAGCTTCCTACCGAGGTTTCGTACGAAAGCATGCTTAAAAAGAGCAAATTTTGCTTGTGCCCGAGTGGATATGAGGTGGCGAGCCCGAGGGTGGTGGAGGCCATTTACGCGGAGTGCGTGCCCGTGTTGATATCCGATAGTTATGTCCCGCCGTTTAGCGATGTTTTGAATTGGAGGAAGTTCTCGGTTTTCGTGAGGGTCGAGGATATACCGAAGATAAAGAGGATATTGATGGGGATTTCTGAGGCTAAGTATTTGAAGATGCAGAGGAGGGTGAAGGAGGTGCAGAGGCATTTTGTGGTGAATGGGCCTACGAAAAGGTTTGATCTTTTCCATATGATTGTGCACTCTGTTTGGCTTAGGAGGTTGAATTTGAGGTTTCATGGCTTGTGATTTGTCAAGTTTTGGGAATCAAGATATCATTTCATTCTTTTGTTTGGACTGAGGGTTTAAAGTTGGATCAGAGCAATTTATAGTTTGCTTGTGTTGTGACAACATTTTGTATTTGTATGATTGTATATCGGTAACTCCGGATATTTAGTCGCGAAATGTACTATTGAATTCATGATTGATCGATAAGGTTTGGATGATGTGCCACGTCACATAGCTTTTCTCGACAATCTTTGTCCACTTGTGTCGAACGTACGCTTTGAAATCCTTATCGGCTGGTCGACACATGGAGCAATCTGCAGACAATAGATTATATAACAACATTAATAAGTCTCAACATATCTGCATTCTGCATTTAAACTGTATGTATGGAGCTTTCAAGTTTTAACTATACCAACAATTGTGTCCTAACTGCAACTATACTTCCAACATTTAATTTGTGTCTTTGTGAAAAAACATGTAGTTCTTCATGAATGTGAATGTGAGTATAAATGAGTCAACAGCCGTGTCGTTCTGTTCCTGCCATGTAAGCAAGTGTGGTTGGACACATCTATTATTATATAAAGAGGCAATCCAAAAAATTCTAAAAGAGTAACTAAAAAATAATTCAAATTCCCGCTTAAAAATTTACTAAACATAGCAATGTTTTTGAAAATTTTAGAAATATCCCGCCTAAATGTGTTTGAAAATTTTTGGGAAAAATTTAAATTCAAACATTTTGTTTGTCTCATTTTTGTTACGTTTTTTGTGTCTATTTTCTCGTTCTTTTTCCCCATTTTGAATCATTTATGTGGTTTTAGAGTCTTTTTGTCGTTTATTTCGTGTTTCCCGTCTTTGTTAGTATTTCTGTGTTTTTCGTGCGTTTTTCCGGTTTCCTTCGTTTCTCTTCTAGTTTTTAGTGTGTGTAGGTCGGAAGCCTCGGCAGGATCGGATTTCAGGCAAAAAGTAGTCGGGCAAGCATTATTAAATAGAGGAGTTCGTTGGGAGCACACAGGAAAAAGCAGAATCAAATTCCGATACCGGACGAGCCCGAACGACTCTAAAACGTGAAGTAGTACCAGCCTGCCCAGGCCCCGCGCTGGCAGGCCCCGCGCCGCGACAGCCCCGCGCCGCGGCACCGCAACTCCTCGCGTCGCGCTGCTTCCTCACGCCGCGGTGTATGGTTCTCTCGCGCCGCGGCACAACATCTTCACCCGTGTTGACCGCGCTGCGTTTTTTTAAATTTACTAACACTTGATGAAGAAGTTATGAATTTTATATTTTTCTAGATAAATTAATCATATGGATGACATATTATTATTTATTAGCTCCATAAATCAATGTAAATTGTAAAAATAAATAAGACAAATTAAAAAGTTCCAAGTAAAACCTCTCAATTGTGAATCCTCTATCCCAAAAAGCTGCTCTAATGAGCTTTTTCTAAATTAGAGTTTTGGGCTCAAAAAGCTTATCAAATAAGCTATTTACCAAACAAGTCCAATAGCGGATTTGACGGGTCAAACATCTCAATTAAGTTGAATCCGCTATCTACCAAACGGGGCCATAGATTTTGGTGTAGAGACTAGAAAATATCTACATGTAGTTAAATTAAAGCGCACAAAAAGGAATTGGTTGTATACATTGGACTTTAAAATAAATATAAATTGAATATACAATACATAATAAATGAGGATATTAACTAATGATCATATCAACTAACAAAATAACTACATTTTTTTAATTAAAACGTAATTATATTCATACAAAAACTTCATTTGAATTATTTTTTTTACCATTGTATTACATATTCGCTATACCTTTTGAAAAGTTTTATAATAATACCACATTCAAAATAAAATCATGCACAAACAAGTCATAAGCCAAAAATTAACATAATTTAGAAATCAATGAAAAAATGAATCATAAATAAACAAATCATAAAAAATAAAAAATATTGTATTTGCAATTAAAAAAATCTTTGTAAATATGTAAATAAAATAAAATTTGGAGGTGTGTGGAGTAATTTTAATATTTTATTATTTTTCTTTTAAAAAAAAAAAAAAAACATATGAGATAGTAATTAAAAGCTCCCAACTTTCGGCTGTTTGGACATTGCACACTGGACAGTGGCTGAATGAAGAAAGGGAGGGACTTTCTCAAAACCCTCCATAGAACCCTCGTCACTCTCCACCAGAAATCCTCCATTGCCAAGGTACACTAATCTGTTCTTACTCTGTATCTGCTCATGTAGCTAGCAAGTGCCCATTAATGTTTCTTTGTGTTTATGTGCATTCATTTAGAAATAAAAGAACGTATGTTTGTATTGTCTTGTTGATTGCATTTGCAGATGGATCCATCTGATAGATACTGTTACAACCCCAAATTGATTTGGAACCCTCAAGTGGAGGAATACTTTGTTAAAGCCTACGGAGCCGACCATTTTGCTCGGATTTCCAGTGCCCTGACGTCTGATTTTCAGCTCAATCAGCTTTTTTCTCTGCTCGTTTATCTGTTTTTATGTTGGCAATGTTTTGTTAAATTAGTTACTTGGTTTATTGTTAGGCAACCCTCTTGCTACTCTTGTGTACGGGTGAATACCCTCAGAACGACGAGCGATGCCGTAATCGAGAAACTATCGTCTGTACTGGAGGAAAGAGGGTGGCGCTGTGATATTTTGGGGGGTCCTTATAGTTCAGAGGATATTGTGAAGACAGATCCGGATGCGAAAAAATGTAACATTTCGAAGTGTGAGATACCGGGCTTGGACTATGTTGTTTTTTTAGGAGGATCTGGTCCCCACAATATTGATTACGAGTACAAGGAAGACAAGCCTCCCAAGGAGGTGATTGTGAGCAGGAAATGTGCCGAAGCTGTTCTTCGTGGTGCTCATGTAAGTATTTTGCTTGCAATGTAGCTGTTATTGGGAATGGATGATACTTGTTTTATCGTAAAAATACTCTTGAGTGTGATGAAATGGGGATTTACCTATTGCTCCTATTTTTTGAAAGCTTTTTTCACAGGAACACACACTCAATGCACTGTTTTTTCTTAGTTCCTTTGATGTCATTCTGTAGTTCTATAGCGATGCTTTCTTCTGTTGCTGTAATTTTTCTTAACAAACATGACATGAAATGTTTTTTATTATTGTAAACTATATACTTGATGCACGATAATATTCTTAGTTCCGTTGAATCATTGTTTCCAGTTGGTGTGGTCCACTTTGCCAAACTTTCTCCTATGGAGGCGTTCTTAAGGAGAAACATGTTTAAATGGAATGTAATTTTGTGATGCTACATGTGTAGGTGTATGTGCCTGGTGTTTTAGCCTGTAGTGCTCACGTGGAGAAAGGGGAATCAGTTGCAGTTTCAGTGGCAGTGGAGCAACCTAGCGGTGACGGAGGGTGGGGAGTCGGTTTTACACGTGGGACAGTGCTACAGGGATCACAAATAGGCAAGAGTTAATTTCCTGTGGGCCCGAACCAACAGAAAGAGAGACGCTATCTTTTTTATTGAGTTATTTTGGCTTTTGTTAAAGAACATTTATCTACTGTCATTTGATAAGTTTTCAAAACCACGGGTGCCAAAGGTGGTGCTGTTTTCGAAAGTAATATAATTGGCAGTATATGTTATATATTATATATTTTGCCTGTATATAGTTTGATCAATGTCGGTCTTTTGCTCTTGCTGTTGCCATTGTT